CGTTTAGGCTGACGGGGACTAATGTAACCTGATGTAAACTGATGATCAGTTTCCATCGCTTCAGGTTGTGTCAGTTTTTTGGGACTGATGTCGTAATACAGCATGGCAAGCTCAATGCATGCTAGGGACAAGCAAAGAATCATGGGAATTTACCATAATAACAAAAAGTCCAAAACTGATGTAAACTGAACTGACAACGTATGTGCAAACTGGTGTCAACTGATTCAGTTTTCATAATTTTTTTTTGCATCTGTGAACCTTGACTGAAATGACCCTCCTGTGAAAGGGGCCCAAGGCCCCTTTCAGATGAGCAGTCCGATCAGGTCCGCCTGTGAGTTTTTCAGCTAGACCCGATTGGATGTTCTATGCAAGTCTATGGGCAGCCGGGTTTAAACGGATGAGGGTCTGTTTACACCCGGCTCTGTTTACATCAGATTCCCCATAGACAGACATGGAGTCTGGCACTTTGTTTTTTTTCCTCCATCACAAGATGGAGGAAAAAACACGAATTTCACAGCTGTGACATGCGTTCCGTACCGCCCTGATCAGGAGAGGATCTGTTGACGGATCCTCTCAATCAGCAGGTGTGAAAAAGGACTAAATGTCCCAGGTGGGAAATTCTTTGAATGGGAACCATCAGTAAAAGGAGAGGTTCTATCTATTCCCCACTAAATCAAAAACAATAAAAACATTATCCATTGGAGTGCAACTTTCACCCTCCCAGTATCAGAGCATTCCACTCATGAAAGCCTATGTGCGCCATTCAGTAGGGTACATGATATTGAAACAAAGTGTGGTTAGCATACATAATATTGTAGCCTACAAATGTTATCTACCACGGTCTTCTCAGTACCAGCAGTATTACATAGAATTCAAGGGTGGTTATCTACTATCAGGGAAACAACCACAGTGGGAGACTTGGGTACAGGAATTACTTCTCAGGTTTGGTATTGTATATGGCCCTTATATTAGGCATATTGTACAATGCGGTTTATCTGCCTGAGACCTAAAATAAGAGTGCATGAAAATAAGCAGCTTCTAAATCACAAAACTCCCATCTCCGGATTATTCCCAGAATTTTCTGCTCTCTTAGTCCTCATATCACAGCAAGTTTACAATTGAAAAAAACGCCTGTTCCTACACCACTACTGCCATCTTGCCAGATCCTGGATACAAAAAGTATATTATATAAGCTTTCATATTGCATTTAGTAGTTTGGAAATTTGAAAGGAAACCTGTACTGTGGAAACATGGAGGGCAGATCTCTCCTTCTCTAAAATGCTAGTTGCCTTTCATGCAAAATCCATGAGTTCAGTATTTTGTGAGTCTGGAACAAGTTTGCACATAAGGAGCTTGGAAATGACTCAATTCTCTGATCTGTATAGTTGTTCTGGTTCAGAGGCTTAAAGTATTGCACTTACTTGAGTTTCCATGTTTGCTATACAGTAATAAAACCAAGACAACATTAAAAAAAAATATCTTCATTAGTATCTTATTTATATTGTTAATGCAATGTGCTATTATACTGATTGCATGGCTATAGGTTCAGAACACCTTTTATTATATATTTTTTATTATTTGTAGTGACAACAAGAAATGTGAAACATGGGGTCTTCTGATAAAGGGTGGATTCTAGCTCATTATGACAAGCTTGTTATCTTCTTGCAGCTAAAACAAATAGTTCTAAACACAACTTTATGTGCCTGTTATGGAGAATGAATGCTGCATTTAAGTTTGACAGTTCACAACAATTTGGGAATGCGCTGGGTATTAAAATATTTTGTCTTAGTTCTCATAAGAAAAATATATGTGAATGTATACACCTTGCTTATAAAAGAAAATCCTAATGGTTTCGATATGGTATATTCATAATATGGTATGTGTTTTTATTTTTCATTACTGGTAGACTTTTCTTTGATTCTGCTTCATGTGTATATATTGCACTGTTCTTCCGATCATACACAAATATATTTATTTAAATATAATAAAAACAAGTCAGTGCCCAGTTGCAGTGCCTCCATTACCCACGACACTGGAGTGTTCCACTAATTTTATTCAAAGCACAGATATATCATCACAGTCACGTGACCTGGTCATCACATGACTGCAACATGCCAAAAGAAGGTCTGTGGACAACTGCCACCGAAAAGATTAAAATAAATAGAAAAATATATCTTTAGAACTGCATGCCCTAAACATTATAATACTGTAATTGTACATGCAAACTACAAATGTACAATGCTGCTGTAATAAGAAATTACACTTCATTTATTTCTAGCTACTTTTATAGGCACTTAAAAAGAAATGAACTATTAATAAATGAATGGATTACCTCAGCTAACAGATCATAACAATAACTGGCGAGGGAGGGTAATAAGACACACTAACAACTGCTTTGTATGTGGGCTCTGAACCCCTCAAAAGACTGTGCAGCTTCGATCATCTTTAAACATCTAGCTATGAATATGGTAGTGAGTCCAAACTCTGGCCCTTTAGGGATCACTAACAACACAAAAGGCCAAACTATACAGGCAATTCCAAAGTCAGCAGCACACACAATACAGCAGGTAACAATTTCAGTGGACTCTTAAGAACATGACACTGATGTAACATGGTCAGGTGATTCACGGCACAGTATCATGTGATGCGGATCATGTGATCAAACTAAGGCGATCCCACCAAATACGTGACTTTCTACAAATCACAACAGGAGTCAGCAGCATGCACTTTGGAAAGATTGATTGCAGAAAACAGAAGAAGATGTCGGGTTGTGCCAAATGTGTGACTGAAAATTGCGTGAATAGTTTGGGCCTAAACATTTCACATATACATATGGCAGCACAGCTGTATTATTTAGAACTCTCTTGTGAGTCTGTCAAGATAACTAGAAAACATGCAAAGACCTAAAAGGAGCACCTGAAGAAAGAAATGTTCCTGTGGCCCACAGCAGCCAGGCTGTCTTCCATTCCTTTGGATACTGGACATATAAAACAGACTCTGATTGTTAGGTAAAAGGGTTCTTTCTTCAGAAGGACCATAATGTTATTGGGCACTGGGGACTAGTATGGGAGTCACATGGTTAGTGTTGTTTGTAGCGCCTTGTATAACCTATTTGTATTAGTAATAAATGGATAATCTTGGAAAAATCTTTGGATGATAGTCCTATTACCCTGTAAGGCTCACTTAAATAAGAACTCCAGGCAAAACTATTCTGAACACTTGCAGTGGGGGCTACCCTCACACTGCAAGGATTAAATGCTCATTTTCATCTAGATGTCAGAATAAAAAAAAGTAATACTCACCTGATTCCTGGAGACGGCTGGCTTTTAGACTTGTCCTTCCAGCCTCTCTCCCCCTCCACTCCGGCGGTCTGGGACCCTATGAGTCATCACATCCAATACACAGTGTATAGGACGTGAGCACACAGAGGGACATACCATCGCTGCAGTGGAGACAGGCAGGAGGGAGCGCTGTAACAACCAGCTGCCTCCGAGGGTCAGGTGATTATTACTGTTATTTTTGCGCCCAGATCAAAACGAGCACCGAACCCTTACACTGCGGGGGTAGCCCCACTGCAAGGGTTAAGAAAAGTTTTGTCTGGAGTTCTTCTTTTAAAATGTATCAACCAAAAAGAAAGTATATTACAGCTTACCAGTCCTTAGAAGAAGTGGCTGCATTTCATTTGTTCAGGCTTGTGTAGCTGTATGTTAATCTGGCAATCATGCAAACACCACATTTCCTGTTCCTGGGTGGGTATGCTTGGTCACTCCACTGTACCAATAGAGGAAGCCACTGGTTTCAACCATAAGGGGAGATCATTTGTTTACAGAAGAAAGATCAGAATGGTTTATGCATTCAGTTTCACTTACAAAAATGACAAGGATACTTAATTTCTGACCAGATCACCAGGTATCTTCTGTACTTGCTGATAATGTTTACAGCCTGAGAAATGGAAATTAATGTGGCCACCACATCTGCGGACTGGTAAGTTGTAATATATATATATATTGTAATATTAACATCCCTTTAATAGGTCAGCTATTATAGCTAAATAGCTCAGCGGCCATTACAATGCTTCATTTTAAATCACTATGAAAATCCAATTGACAACTTGGTATTATTGTAAAATTGAGCACACTGGACTGAGTTATTACATAAATGGAGTTTAAATATTGGAGAAAGGACCCTTTCACGACTGCTTTGCAATTTTCACTTTCTGTGCATGTTTTTGATGCATTTTGAATGCAATAGTCTTCACCTCTATGGAGAATATACTTTTTAGAAACCGCACTACACGCAGCACACTAAAACACAGACCTGTGCATTAGCAGATCTTTGAGGAAGGTTGAGTGATGCATAAAGAGTTATTGATCATTTTTACTGATGTATGTAATATTAGGTTGTGCCATACAGGGAAATAGATATGTATGGTTTGTGTATGATTGGACTACACACATATGGTACTTTTGAGCAAATGAATTTAAGTTGAACCCTTCATACTCATATAATCTAATAAAATAAAGCTGTTCACCAGTTAAAAAAAGATCAGGAAATAAATTTGTAATGTAACTTTTTTTTTTTCTTTTAACAAAACATTAAACATAACTTGAGATACCTCCTTAACCTCCTCTTAACAGCAGGGCACCCACTTTCATGAACAGTAAGTTAACAGAGCATTTGATGTGAAAACATTTGAGACTTATTATCACAGGAGACAAAAGGGTTGTGAAAGCTATGAGCCAGAGGACCCACATATGAAAGGCAAATATAATGCAATAGTCCCAAAAACGCATAAGGTGCCAAGGGACAACAAATATTTATGATGTATGCAACAAATCTGGACTGCTTATTTTAGATTAGGGGTTTTGTGAAAATGTAGATGAACTTTCACCTGCAAGTGGGCAGACATATAGAGACACACAGGTGAATCCTGGCAAAGAAAGGACACTATTGGCACAGTGGCCAAAACTGTCCCAGGAATTCACTCAGGATTATTGGCAAATCTGATTCAACAGGTATTAACTCTACAACGATGTAGACATGAAAAATAAATATGTCATGGTCAAAGTGCCTTTGAAATCGGGGAAAGTGACCAATCATTTTCTGCAGATGAAGGTATCTCTCCGGCCTCACTTGTGCAGTTACTGCAGTTAATACAGAATTATATTATATGTCCCATAAGAACCAGTGAAATCTGTGGGCAAACCAACAGACAGCAGATGCTAGTAGTCCAGATATAACGTTCGATAACGCCATTTTTTTCTGTTGTTAAGAAAAGTGAAACACCCGTAAAGACAAAAATTAAAAAGCACAAAATATTAACAAAGAAATGAAAAAAACATAACAAAAACAATTTTCTCTCGGTCATTTTTGCTTGGGTCATCTCACACTACCTAAATTGCTGGCTGCACTCTTCCTGTCTTGTCCCTCATAACACAGCTTGGAGAAAATACTGAGATTCTTTCTGTTTGGATGTAATGCTCCTCAGTTAAAGCCACGAGACTGAGGTAAGACAGTATTTGATTTGTGCTAGGAAACAGTAACCAAAATGAATGCACATCCCTTGATCCCAACTGTCCTGCAGAAAGAAATGTTGAGAAAAATGGATGTGTGTTTTCGTTAAAATCTTTCTTCCTGGTGAAGTCAAACAGATATATTTGGGTCTGGTTTATCAGAATTGATACCACTTCTTTTCTTTGCATTTCATCATCATCTGTAAAACAAAGTAAAAAAAAATAATTAGAAAACTTAAAAGCTGAACGTCACGAAAACTGCTAAATAAACGTATGGAGTACATATACGAGAGATGCTTCATTTGCCAAAGGATTTATATTACTGTACATTGCTGAGATTTATAGACCACCCTCACACAGGACAGCCATGTGAATGACACCACTTAAAGTTAAGGAATGCAATGGTGACTCCTCCACACCCCCAACCTTCTGACTGGACAGTAAAAGAGCAACAGCAGACTGAAGTGACCACTCTGCTTACTCTGCTCTGCTCTCTTCTCCTAACAGCATGTTGCCTGTTGGCACATTTCTATGCAGTACATGTGATTGGTTCCCAGTCCAGCACCTCCCTCTTCAAGTCTGAAAGCTGCTGTAAAGGTAATTGCAAAAGGCCGATACCAAATCAGGCACTTACACCTGATGCATTAAAAACCCTCAAAAAAAACACACACTCAGTGATTGATAAATACAGATCTGCATTAATTTCTGTATTATACATCTTCCTGGAGTTCAGCTGCAGTGTAAAAATCTGAATTTGACTTTTTATCAGTCTCTAATCCCTGAACAGCAGAGCTGAGACTTAAGGAGAAGGAGACAGCACAAGTAGCCAATCAGTTGTGCTGCAGTGCAAAGGCGCCTCCTGCCTTTAGCAAAGCCACACTTCTGGGACATCTGAAGAGATGTGTGATGAGAGGGGAGCTCATCCAACTTTTTCTTGTACTTGATACTTAAAAAGGACCACCTAACTATGCTACTGGCAGCAAACTGTGTTCCCCACAGCAGTGTGAACATTTTTCAATATTAAGAAAAAAATTTAATGGACCAAATATCCAATTGTGAGCCTACAAGCAACCCCCAGTCTGTAATATAATTTCTTCCTTGGGCCTCATCACCGTCACCTTTACACCAAATACTGAATGCCAGATTTACAATTTTTTTTAAATAAAATAATATGGTACCTCCAGGGACCTGCTGTCAAGATAGCTTGCTTTCAAGTTCCTCCTTTGATCCCCTATCCCTTGTTTTGTTCTCTCTGTTGTGATTGTCAGCATGCCCCCTTTAAGTAAACCTGCCAAGTGAAATATGGTGCCTGCCACTGCTTACCTCCTTCTGAAAATTCCAGTTCCCTATTATGTTGATCCACTGGCTTCATTATTTCCAGAACCACTGACTCAGAACAAGAATGCAGATCAGAATGTTCAGACTGAAGTCATTTTTTTAAAAATCTGCACACTTACTGTAAGTTAGTGACTCAGCATAATGAAGCAAGAGGGTCAGCATGACAGCGAGTCAACACACAAGCTCAAAAGCAAAGGTCAGCTATGGCAGCAACAAGTTTCTCTAATGACAGGTCAACTTTAAAGTAGCAATCTGGAAATAATTCTTAACCCTTACAGGGGTGGCTACCCCCGCACTGGAAGGGTTAAGAGCTTCTTTTCATCTAGGGTGTAAAGTAAATGTATTCTCACCTGAACCTAGGATCCAGGTGGCTTTAAGAACGGTCCTTCCAGCCTTTCTCCTCCTCAGCTCCAGCAGTCTAAGGATTCTTGAGTAATCACGTCCAATACACTGCAAATTGGATGTGAGGACACTAAGAGACATACCATTGCTGCAGTGGAGGAGGAGAAAGGCGGGAGGGAGCACTCGGCTGTGAGGTTTGGGTGAGTACAACTGGTTTTTTACACCCTGGAGAAAAACGAGCACTTAACCCTTGTAGTGTGGGGGCTGCGCCACTGCAAGAGTTCAGAATAAAGTTCTTCTTTAACATCAGGTCATTAGATGCATAATGGTGACAGACTAAGCAGTCATATGAGTGACTTCCCAGGTCAGAACATATTCACACAGCATGATTCTAAATCGGTGAAAGCCTAAATGTAAATTATTATTTTCAGAAGAAACTGACCAATAACAGATTTTAAGCCCCCCATACAAATAGTTAAATGATCAGCAAGCTATACTAAACAAGAGAAGTCAGGTTCCATTGCTGATGATCTAGACCCCGACGTGATAAAGCATTTACATATAGAGAGCTTTTCTCTTTTCAAATGAAGAGAAATCATTGGTACATTCGATGGTATGGGATTTGCAATACCTCATGAGCTTGCTTTGAGAAGGAGTCTGCACTGTTGAGCATGGCAGCTGTCTTATCTTCTAACTCTCCTAGTTTCTGTCCTCTTTCGTCCAGGGCCAACCTAGCCCGTGCTAAGTCACCAGCAACCCCAGATGCTGCTCCTTTAACTCCTTCAATGCCCCCAGATCCAGGAATGTGCTGAGCAAGGCCCCTTGATGCTTTCCCAGATGCTGTTTCTCCAACTAAAATATGGAAAGTAAACAAAATGAATTTCTTAAATAATGCCCACAGTAAAATCCGACCAAATATTGGCAATTGTACTTTAGGTCTGTGTATATTAGTTCACTGTTTTAGGCAATTTAAAGACCGTGAATACTATGCAAGCAGCATTCCTGCTTTAAGGATCAAAAACCTGTGTGCCTGGCTAATGACAGCTAACTGGCAGTCAAGTAGCATTTCATACATTACCTTTCCACAAATAATGTGCTCACTGGGCAATTTTGGATTTCCGAATACTGCTGCTCGCAAACTGGAGTCTGCTCCGCATGGAAGGGTCTCAAAAAAAAATGTCTTCTTTGTCTACATCAGTTGTTCAAGGCCAACCAATAACAACTGGACAAGTTAACATTTTGCATTTGAGTCTCCCTCAAATTAGAAAACAAAGAAAATAATATGCATCGATGTTATCAAGAGCCTGGAGTCATCGTACTGCAGTTTGCAAGTCCTTAATTGAATAGGATTGTTAGAATTGTGGTCAGGGGTGCGGTGGACCGTTTTGTGTCACAACCATAGCATGTCACATCTTCACCAGGGTTGCTGACAGTGTGGATGTTATAATTTTGATACAGTGGAGCACAAAACCCAAAGTTTGGACAGTGACAGCTGACTTGTACGTGTAATCTGACAAGTTGTGAGGCGAAATCAGTGACAGGTTGAAGGTCAGGGGTAGACCAATGTAATTAAAAAACAAGCAGGGTCTTAACTTGAAGAACAGGCATAAGGTCAGTGTAGAAAGAAGGATATTCCATTGGTAGTTTAAGACCAGAGCACTTAGTAGCCAAACAAACCACCTTCGATCAGCCACAAGCTGAATGCACTAACCTCACTTTAAAATCCACTGACTGGAATCAGATGTGGAGCATGCAGCGTGATCATGCTGCGGTGTCGAGAAAAGATCAGAACATGGAGGGGGGTTCAAATCCAACAGGTGTAAGCCTCCCGTACACAGTAAGAGAGGGAAGGTAAGAAGATGCCAGCAGATCATTAAAGTGGTGGCGCAGTTTCACATCCATTCACAACTAGACCGAGCGCAACTTATTTGCCACATAATAGACTCACTTATACACAAAGTTGCTGCTGGTCTATTTAGTTATTTAGATTTCGAGTCACTCATTCCCAGCGCAGTGATTTTTGATTATTACTAAAGTGTAAAGTTGGCAGTACAAGGATGGAAGTGGTCTAACAGGAAGTTTACAGGCAGTAACAGTCAGACTTCTGGTTTGTTTTGATCCTCATCTGTGTAATGAGAGCTCTCATGCTGACAAGTTTAACCCATTAGGGACCAGTGGGCTGGTTTGAACAGTCTAAAGCCGCCGGGACTGTTTACATTTGCAGAGGCGACTGTCAGTTTTACCGTAGAAGCGATTCTGGCGGCTCAGCTGCTTAGGGGCAACTCTGTGAATATCCTTGAGTGGCCCAGCCAGAGCCCTGACTTGAACCCTATTAAACATCTCTGGAGAGACCTGAAAATGGCTGTCCACCGATAGACCCCATCCAACCTAACTGAACTGCGTCATACCCAGAAAGACTTGAGGCTATAATTGCTGCCAATGGTGATTCAACAAAGTACAGAGTAAAGGGTCTGAATATTTAAGTTCATGTGATATTTCAGTTTTTTTTAAATAAATTCAGACATTTCTAAAATTCTGTTTTCACTTTGTCATTATGGGGTACTGAGTGTAAATTATTGAGGACAAAAAATCAGAGGTCTTCTCGGTCAAGTGATTGTGCTCCACCCCCAAACAAGCCTTTGAAGAACCCTCGGTTAGGGGCTTCTGGTGTTTCAACTGGTGTGAACAGTTCCCCTAGCATTTCCTAAAAAAAGAAATACACAGAAGGTTAATTGTTCTGTATGTCTGAGGAAGTTCTATAATATGAGTCGTATTTATTATGTAGATATTACATTGCCCATGTATCATGTGACTAGAATGGAAACAACAATGCATATTAAATATTATATAACAGCTTTACCATGCTGAAATAGTAGTGCTCCTGCAGTTCCTCCTCCCCCTTACAATTTTATGTCCTGCTCCTGCAGCTCCTCCTCCCCTTTATAATTTTACATACCCGGATTACTTTCCTTCTGCAGTTTATTAGTGGACAGTGGCCGATCTTTGGAACATGGAATATCCGTAATCACCTGATCACTTTAAAATAACCTGGAAATCCTTTATCATAGTTAATCACAAATACACTTGAAATAAAAAACATTAAGGTAGAGCTAAACTCACTGATCTATTTCCCAAAAGAAAGCTCAAGTTAGAGCAGTTCACTAAATGTTTTTAAAACCGATAAACACACCAAGTTGCCTTCTGGAGTATTCATTTACAATCTGCCTACTAAGCATTCACATTGTACACCAAGCCATGTCTCTGGTGATGTCATAGTTTAGTTCCACTTTAATGCAAGATTGTTCCAGGTCCTGAATTACTAGGTAGTGAAGAAAGGATCTAAAAGATCCTTTAGCTTTAAAAAAAACAAACAAAAAACAGTGGTAGCTCCCATATGTCCTATGCCACTGCATTCTTTTATTAATTATAATGATCTTTTCATTTCCATTTTATTTAATTCACACTCCTTCCTTTTATCCATATTTACATGCCATCAAAGCTGCCCTGCAAAGTGACAGGCATTGAATCAACTAAAAAAAACTGCCAGAGGTCCCGACAAAGGTCATTTTTTATTCCCTAATCTTTTCCTGAAAAACACTTTCTGCGGCTGGTCAAGCACCAGTGTTGTAGAGTTTATTCCAACACGTTACTGTTATTTTTGCTAGACATCTTTGTCTGCAAGTAAAATTAGAGACAATAATAAAAGGCATGACATTGGATTTCTAATACTGAAAACATTCATTGCATGTATTTTTGGAAGTATACCATTTTCACAATTACTTGCCCTGCTCAACTCCTTTGCTTCTGTTGGAAGGGTTTATTCACTTGCAATTTTCATCAGCTGTACAAACCACTGCCTAAACTACATCTCACAAGATTCCTTGCATTTAATTCACGTCTAGACATGGTCAGCTTTTGATTGACAAGCAAGGGGATTGGTAATCAACCCTGACTACGCTAAAAAAACACCCCCTGTGATATCAGCATGTTAGTACTGGAGTACAAGCAAGTTAGATGGATGAAAATATTCTCACGCAGCTGGGTGGATCTTGACAGTAATGTCGGGATCCGTCCCGGCTGCGGCAGTCTCAGTATACCGCGAGCTGTAGCTTGTGATATACTGAGCTTTGGGTCATGGGAGGACGCTCGTATATATCCTCCTGTGACCCTTAGGAGAAATATGGGGAAAAACACTTACCCCATAGTTCTCCTTTAAGCAGGAGAGCTGCGCACAGACAAGAAAGTGTCAGTTTATTATTCCCTACTGCTGCAAAGGTTTTAGTTAAAAAGTGGAGGCTACTGATGGGGTCCTTTTAATAACATCCAAATATAATTTTACAAAAGTCATGTAGGAAACTAACATTTATATATTTTTAAATTTGACACACTAATGCGAAAAGACAAAAAATGATTATCAAGACAAAGTTTTGTATACTACATTTAAAGTGCCTATAATTTTGCACAGTAATGTAAATAGAGATATGCAGTATTTGTGATGCTTGCTATTCCATTTACGCTAGCCATACAGTGATTTTTTTTTCTTTTTTCATAAAAGGGTCATTTAAAAAGTTAACTGCAGCATACACATTTTTAAATGATATTAGTTTTAGACTAGAAATTGCATATTAAAAATGCATGTAAATACCTTAACTAATAACACAAATGTATCTTATTTGTGTTTCACTCGGCTGTAGATCCTCAAATCATCTCTAAAGTCCTTTGTTTGGAGGGTGGCTAAATTATCTCCACATGGTCCCTGTGTGTGAGGTTAAGTAGCAATCGCTCAAAGCTCACTCCCGTGATGAACTACAATCCCAATACAAATGAGATAACTAAACATGAGATTGTAGTTTGTCATGGGAGTGAGCTTGGAGTGGTGGCTACTTTACAACACACACAGGGACCATGGGGAACAAAAGTAGCCAGCCTCCAGAAGGAAGGACATTGTCAGCATGAATTCAGAGATGATTTGAGGATCTACAAATAAGATACATTTTTGTTTATAGTTAAGGTACTTAAATGCACATTTAAGTTTTAACTCCTGAGTTTAGTCTCAATTTAAACATTCTAAAACCATAGAGTGACAACATCAGTCAGTGAATAGGCAGATGTTACCTGTAGGTTCTCACAGGTTTCTTGGCTGTAGGTCATTCTCTGCATTTCAGTAGCTGAGACCAGATATAACGCCTGCCCATTGTTCGCGAAGCAGAACGTTCGGGCTATCCTCATGTTGGTTATCGGCAAATAATTTACATCCAACAACGGCCTTAAACTTGGCAAACTTTGGAAAACAGAACAGAAAAGTTTATATCAGTTGAACTATGAGCAAAGTAATAAATGCAGCAAACAGTTTACGAACACACAGTTATTAAATTATTTTCATTACACTTAACAAAATGGGTAGAAAGAAATGAGCATGTGCTTATTGTACCACTTGCCCCTCCTAATAGATTGCAAGTTCTCAGGAGCAGGGCCCTCCTACCTCCTGTACTGAAATTGTATCGTCTCCCTCAATTTTGTAAAGCGATGCGCAAACTGTTGGTGCTATATAAATCCTGCATAATAATAATAATAATACTTTGTACTACTGCCCCGTCTACTCCTTTTTAGTAGTTATTTCAACTACTTTTGAACCTCACACAAGAACACAGCACTTCATCTAATGAGCTACAAAATACTAAAAATGTATGTAAACCCACTCACTAAAATTTCATATATGTTTTAACACGTTAATTTATTTTGTTGTAGTAGAAGAACAGAGCGCACTATCCAGAGAATTCCAATACCCCAGACTTAATTGAAAATCGACAGAAAATCCAGTATAACGGTGAATAGAAGTATATAAAGCAGCAAATACCAGCACCGCAAACTCCCAACCAGCTACAACCTCTCACATGTTTCACCTGTATTCTTATACATAGAGGTAGTGACAACAGGGTGAAACATGTGAGAGGTTGTAGCTGGTTGGGGATTTGCGGTGCTGGCATTTGCTGCTTTATACACTTTATTATTTTAGAAAGACGCTATGACATATTTATCTTGGCAAATCTTCAGCTTTCATTAAAAATGATACCTGCATATTCTGCTTTTAAAAAAATCCTTGTTCAGACACTTCATGTTATGGGGTGACAACACGCTGTTCCTGTCTCGCAACTGCGTTGTCCCCCTGTAACACAGGCTTATGATGGAGACTACAAGAAGCGATTTCGAAACACATTATATAATTCTCCCTGAGAAATGTCATGCAGCCTTTCCTGGAGTGCATGTAAAGTGAGGAACATTTATAACATTTGTATCGTGTTTTTATCTGGATTTTTGGTTGATATTCTGTCTCTATCATTTAAAATACACCTATGATAAAAATTATAGACCTTTCATTTCTTTGTACGTGGGCAAACTTACAAACTCTGCAGGGGATCAAATTATTATTTGCCACACTATGTAGAAATCAAGTGACTGCAAAAAGGTTGCAAGACTAAGATGTAGCAAAGGATGAATAAAAAGGTGATCAGTATTTAAAAAAATGAAAAGTTTATGATACACGGTGCTTTAGCAAACTAAACTTAATTCAGCTATTATTTACTTTAAACAAAGCTGAAGCCAAAACTTACTTTTTTTTTGGTTTGGATAGAGTGGAGGGGGGGTTATAACCCTTTCACCTTTTTTAGCCATATATGTCCCATTTGGGAGATTCCACTTCACTTCCTGTCCAATAGCCACAACAGAAAATGAGAGGAAACCCCTCCAAAGAGAGAAATTCCCTGGTGGTCAGATAAAATCCCCCATCTTTTTCCTTCTCTGATGGCAACCCAACATTTTGGATTTTCTTTCCCTCAGTGGTAACAGTCACCAGAACAAATTGAGAGGGTGAATCTCTCTAACAGCAACACAGCAAGCAATAAAAAACTGCCAGGTGTTATAATCCCTCTTCACTCTATCCAAAACTAGATAAAATATTTATCAGCAAATACCGGCATTACAAAGCCTGATATAACTCGTCACGTACAGTGTACGTGGCCAGTCATATAGGCACAAAGTGACAAGACGTACACTGTACGTCTCCCGTCACGAAGGGGTTAAAGAAGAATACCAACATTTAAAAATTCTCTGTGTGCTGTGCATCGGCATATCCAGGGTACGGCACATGCCCTGGGCACCACTTAAAGGGGGGGTGACACTCCGCGAGTCAAAGAAAGTTCACCGATTCATGGAGGCACCTTTTTTTTTCTCTCCCACCCCTCTCCCATGCACATCTCTCTGCCTGATTTAGCAACCAGGGACACTCTGGCCAGCATCCTGCCCAGCTCCTGGCAACCAGTGACATCACTGGTTGCCAGGAGCTGGGTGGGAGGCCTGCTACATCGTCCAAGGTAGCTAAAAGCCGGGAGGGGAGATGTGTATAGCACTTAAATATCTCTCTGCCTAGCTTTTAGCAACCTGGGACACTCTGGCCAGAGTTCTGCCCAGCTCATGGCAAACAGTGACTTTTAGTCTCCCGCTCTATCTCCTCGACAGGCTGCACACTTGTGCATGGAGCTTTCCCCCAGCTCTGACATCACCCCCCTTTGCTTTCTAAGGCAGCTGAGATGCATGCGTGAATGAGAGCAGCGCCTGCTGGCAGAGGCTAGTGCTGTCATTCAAACCTATTTATAGATTTGTCTCCTTGCTAACCGCAGGGTCGGACAGCGGTGGGGGGAAATTCCATGCTAGCTGAGCAACACCACCATGGATCAGCTACATTGCCCTGGGTTGTCTAGGGAAAGGGGTCAAAAACGATTTTTCAGTTGTGGTGACATTTCTTCTATACTTAAGTAAGTAGTGGTAACTTCCAGCTACTTTTGCAGATCTACAATGTGAAAGTTTAGTATAACCAGACTGGGAATAGTGAGATTATATAAAATGAATCAAAAACCCCTCCCTGAATAAGTGCAGGCTGTTTGGAATACATGGCTGTTAATAAGGCTGCACCTTTGTTATTACCCAGCAATTCTGGATGCATGTTGGACCGGGGCATGTTAGCCTCTCTACCTTCTCAGACTCAATACTTCATGGGAACCAGCATAAGTCTCTGCCAGACCCAATCAACAAAATGAAGTAGAAAAAAACGGTCATTAGTAGGAATCATCTTAATGGCGTTTCTTTATTGAAAAGGCATAAAACAGCTACAAAAATTGCTAACATGTCCACCAAGGGACCTTAATGATAGCCACTATTCTAAATGGCTCCCCTTTCCTCCCTTGTGAATGGGCTGAATGTTTGTAAACCAAGGCAGAAGGAGAATCATGGCAGATAAGGTGAAGGTGGGGTGGTCTTAAGGTGCCACTGACCACGTGAATGGGATGGGATTTTTTTTTTTTTAAAGGTGGGAGGAGGTTTGAAGTGCAAACGTCACAAGTCCTGTAGCACTCCTTACCGGAAATCCCAAAGACGTTAAACAGGTGCTCGAAATGACAGCGGATGGCGCCGCATATAGAACAACTTTGGATGAGGATGTCACCAGTGTGTGATGAGTCCACTCTGAGCCTGATGAAGGGGACCCTGTGTGGCCCCCGAAAGCGCTTGATTTTCCGAGTGACATATCATTAAATGGATTCGCACTGACCCATGTGTTTTTGTCGTGCCTGGTGTGCTGGTGACATCCTCATCCAAAGAGGTTTAAAGTGCAAACCCAAATTTTTGGTAATTTTTCCTTTATAGAGTAAATAATACAAAATCCAGTGGTTATTAAATAGCACCATAAAGCAGACCTGTCTGTCTAAAAAAATGATATAAACTATCACAGCCTGGCCTGGTAATGAAGGGGTAATACTCAAGTGGTTAAGTAAGGATTTGTCATAAATGTTTGCACTGCACCTGATATAATTTCAGAACTCATATTTCTGTCATTTCTGTCTCAAAAGGTTACTAAAGAAATTGTTATGTTCTAAACCTATTGCTGCAGTTAATTGAAATCACCATTGCTGCAGGGAAACTGATAAAATGTACATGCATGAATATTAACTTTTTTGCAATTTGTCAGCTATTATACAAAAAAAAATAATATTGTAACATGGTGTACACCAGGGGTCCTCAAACTACGGCCCACGGGCCAGAATTGGTCAGTTTTGGGTATGGTGGTTTTTTGCGATTTTGCGAGTGCGCGCAATTTGTAAGCTTGACATGTTTGGTGTCTATTTACCCAACGTGACCCCGACTTTTATATTTTACCGAAAAATTGGGTGATAAATGTTTCCTAACAGAATGTAAAAAAACCCTTTTGTTCTGGGACGAGAGGGGGCGTGGCGGTGCGGCACCACAGCCACGCCCCCCTGTTTTTCAAACTATGATCCGGCCCCAAGCAATGTCTGAGGGACAGTGAACTGGCCCCATGTTTAAAAAGTTTGAGGACCCCTGGTGTACACTGATACATTTCCTGAAGGAACAGACAACTGCATGTCTGTTTTTATTTTCTGGTGAAGGGATGATGAAAAACTTTTTTTTCAGTCTTTGGCAACAGTAATAAAAGGGGTTACATTTACTTTTTTGAGAAACAGTTGTGCGGAACCTCCCCTTTTCCAATTGTAAAATACCCCGGCTGGCAGTAGATGCACTACAGCCGCGAGCCCTGACCTGCTCTGCCTTCCACCTTGCACCCAAAAGAACATTACATACTCCCGACACCTACACTTTGTTAGCTGGGCTGTACGTTACTTTTACCCTTGACCCCTGCAATTTGTACATTGCACATTCCTGAACTCTGTATGTTATACACATCTGACCCCTGCACTGTGTACACTACAAACTCCTGGCCCCTGCACTCTACACTCCGTATATTAACATACCCCAACTCATGCCTTCTGTGCATGACATATTCATGACCCCCATCACATGATGTGAGCAATGGAGGAGGAATTGAGTCTTTTGCGGATTAAAACACAGACACCAGGGGGCGTGGTTTCGCTATGGCCGTGAGTGGATGTCTGTTCTAGAGCTCCGGCACCAGCCCCTAGGCCAGCGGTACCAGAACCTATCCTATCGCCTTCTTTTTGGTCCATATGGGTCGCAATACACAGCGGGGCTCTCGCTCGCAAGAACCGAAGGTCCCGTCGACCAGGAAGCGAGCTATTGAGACCTTCTTTCCCAAAGCAGGGCGCTCTACCCAGATGCCGCGAGGTGCAAAGATGGCGACGGGCAGGGAGAAACGGGCCTCGTCACCGGCTCCTTCTTCCCCTGAATCTCTTCAGTCGGCCCGCACTAGTGGAGGACGGGAGTCCGCGGACCACAGTGACATTGAAGGGGAGGATGCAGATGTGCCTACTTCGTTCCACAAGTACTTTGCACTTCTGCCCACGAAGCAAGACATTGCAGGCCTATTTAACAAGCTGGAGTCTGCCCACAAACAAGATATGGCAGAGCTTCGTGAGGGCCTCCAATCTTTCCACCAGCGCCTGGACTCTCTTGAAACTGTCATGCCCGCGGCGACCTCGGCCGTTGAAGAGCTGCAACAAGCTGCCCACCGTCACGACACAGCCCTGCATTTTATGTGGTCAATGATTGACAATCAGGAAGACCGCAGCAGGCGCAATAACATTCGTCTCAGGGGCATACCCGAGGCCACCGGTACACGAGATCTCCGGGCCACAGTGGTTGGCGTCTTCAATACCCTACTTGGCAACCCTGTTACAGAACACAATGAAATTGATAGAGTACACCGGGTACCTGGGTTCCGTAACCCCAACGCAACTCGCCCTCGTGATGTACTATGCAGGGTGCATTACTATATATGCAAGGAAGAGATCATGACCCATGGCTAGTGGCCCTCTGGATTTTGATGGTGCACAGATCTCCCTATTTCCCGACCTGTCGAGGCGCACCCTTGCCAAACGGAGGGCTCTCCGTCCGCTCACTCTAAAGCTACAGGAGGCTGGAATACCTTATTGTTGGGGTTTCCCGTTCTCCCTCTCTGTACGAAAGGACAGCAGGGTTCATTTCTTCAGAGCGCCATCGGATCTACAGGCCTTTGTCGCAGCTCTGGGTATACAGGAAGTCGCCATTGAAGCCTGGCCTGATCCCTCCTTGCCGGACCTCACTCACATACCGAGCCGGGACCAGTGGCACATGGTCACCCCCAAGCCCCGCAGAGAACGGAGATCCTCATCCAGACCCACTCCGCGTTAAACTCCTGACAGTCCAGGTTGTTTCCATTTTTTCAGTTGACAGCGAGATGCCATGTTCAGCCCCAGAGGACAGTATGTGATGACGGTTATGGTCCTATGGCACGCTACGTCCCAGGGACACTCACGATATCGTACTGCTGCACAAGGCTGCCGGCCATGCCCTTTTACCACCTACCATGCACTGTTCATTCACCATCGCACAGTGCCATGCCTACCCCGGAATCATATGTGGTGTTTTGCCCGCCCTGGTGCTTATTATTGTGTTGCTGATCTCTTTGCCCTGAACATTGAAGGTTCTGCTGTCCTGAAACGTTCTACATCACGTGTTCCTTATACTTTAGTCATTCCATTGTGAAGGTTCTTTTATATTGTTCTACAAGTGTTACTTTTCATTTGCTGGTCTAGGGGGCTCCCGGACCATGTTGCATTCCTTGCCCCCATTAGATTGTGCTCCTGCAGCTCCAGGTGGGAGCTGGGGGACCGCATGTTGGGCTCTGTTGTCTTTCTTGAGAGATAACCTTCATGGGCAACCCAGAGTTCCCCCCAGCTCAACATAGGGAACGGCGGGGTACGGACTTCACCCCCCTCTCTGTGGCTCTCAAGGAAGGGGGCTTGCGCACTCTTTCTTCGTTACTGGAAGAGTCTGCTCCGTTCCCCGGACACTGGTTGGAATATTACAGACCGGGTATTTTCTATCTCCTGTTTTACGTATGTAAATCCAATAAAAACCAATAAAAACATTAAAAACATTATCTTTAAAACACAGACACCAGAGGAGGAAATTTAGTGCATTTGAGCGCAATTTAACATCACACTTTATTTGACCATCTCTTTGCAGAGGGTCAAATCGTTCTGGTGAGTGTGGAAAGAAAGCTTTACCTATTCACGTGGAGAGAGACACCTTTAACCATTTGGGCACTTTGAAGTTTGATATTGCGGATCACTCATTTTTTGTTTTGTGATTGCACTAAGACACCTATGTTACACTGAGCACTTTTGAACTTTTTTAGCACTTTTATGGAATACTACTTGAACACCCACATGAAATATTATACATTTTTTTGCTATTTGAATTTTTTAAGAGATATTTAATCATCATCTTGTGATTAATTAGTTCACTTTATCACATATCTTTGATCTGGATGCACTTTATTAGTAATTAATCATGCATTAATTACAATTAAATTGTTTATTTATGTTCAGTGGCATTTAATTCACTAGCGCTTTGCACTTCTTATACAGTTATAAGTGGTACTCATTTATCGAATATTTATAGCTTTATGATGCACTAGTTATTGATGAACTTTATCCATTTTTTAGAGGGATTAATCATGTACAGTTATTAGGGTAAGATATTGTTCACATAAAACTTTTTTGAATAGGTAGCGCTGTACATTCATATTACTATATCTAAAGAATAGTTATTGTAAAGCAGTGGACATACGTATATCAGCACCACAATTCAAAACAAAAAATCTCTCACATTCTCTATTCCACATCTGATTAAAAAAAAGGAATGTGTATGGTCAATCTGGATTATCTTTGTGGTTTATAATGTACCTTTTAATACAGAAAAGTGTTTTATTTAGCACATCAGAAAATCTTTTTTTCCACTATGGTAACAATGTACCCTACATAGTACTTCTGGTTAAGATAGACTGTAGATTTTTTAAATTTAAGGATTATTATTTAGAGCTTAGAATTAGTTTATTATAACACATACTGGCAGGCTGCACTCTTTATATTGTGGTATTTTTGATCATCTCAGTTTTGGTCTTTTGAGTAAAAGACCAAGGCACTCTAAGTGTTTCCCAGTGTGGGCAAATGCTAGTGGCTACTGAAGAAGAGACATTTATGAGTGTATCCCCTACATGAACGTATCCCTACAAACGTTCCCCATCATGCTGGGGAACGTTTCTATACAGACTGCAGGCAAGAAGGTATTGTCAAAATTCTTTATCAAATAACTGTAAATATAACTGTTGGCCAATGTTAGCCTACGGCCTCATACACACACAACGCAAGAGGAAAATTGTATATTGCGTATGTACGTGTGTGTATATGCGCGTATTTATACGCCTATACGTGCGTACATGCGTATATGTGTGCACTATATGCCATCTCAGAATGCATCACTCATAATGGAACTTTTAATGTGCTGTACGCATGTAAACACACGTATGTGCGCGTAAATATGCAGCAATATGCTGCCTGGACGCATCTCTGTTCCATTCTGTTTTTGCGCATATATACGCTACGCAAATATACAGCTCCATACGCGGCTATGTGAATGGAGCCATTTATTTGCATGTGTTGCATATGGTACAATTCGCGCGTATATGTGCGGCAGTGTGAATGAGGCCTCAATGTGAACATTACTACATAGGATTAAATTGTTATGGGTTTTTTCTCTTACCTAAAAGTCATAATGTGTCCATTGGCACAGAAACATGCAAGGCAGGGACTAGTACCCAGTGACACTATATCTCCACGGAGGACAAAAGAAGTCTCGGTTATGTTGTGTTTATGAATGCAGTTCTGGGAGGGCAGTAAGATAACTTTTGCCTGCTTTTCAGAACATATCACTGCATATTGGTTTTCACCAATTTCCTGAGACGAGGAGGGCGACACCGAAACTGGCCTCCGTTTTTTCAATCGCTCCCTGTCATCCTTATCTTCAGGTGCATTCGGTTCTCTCCAGGGTTCACATGCTGGTGGAATTATAACTCCTTGAGAGTCTAAAAATGCCATCCTTAAGATTGCGCCCTTTAGCCTCAGTATTGTTCCTGTAAAAAAATAAAAATTACAGTGAAATTAAAAAAATTGTAAGACCACGTAATTTATGCTACAGATGTTATTCCAACACACCTCTAGAATTTCTCTTTTTGAAAATGCAAGTTGTTTGGTGATCATGATGATTTAGCGCCTTTAAAACTTTGCATACCACTGACCCACAACAAGTATGTAGATCAGAAGTGACAGCTTCACTTCTTGCATGATATTCCAGATCAGTATATACCAAAAAAGTTATGAAACCAGAGACTGCCAGGAAACTAGCATTTGCAGAAGGAGATGAGCACTGGTAGTCAGCACAAGCAAAACAGTCATTTTAAAATAAAAGGACTTGGTATTGCCTGTGGCCTCCCTGCAGCAGATATTTTCCCCTTTACTGACTTACCATGCTTTGTTCTGCACTGTGTGTGTGGAGGTGGCCAGCTTGGTAGAGGCAGGTCTTTTGCTTACTCATGTCAGAGCCTTTAGCAAGGAGAACAGTGATAAGCACAGTAGTGGCATTGCTAAATCTCACTTCAAATCTCTTGAGAAGAGCAGTCAGAGACAGCAGTGATCTCACACCACTGCAGATACAGTATACAGCTATATGGCTGTAAGCACATGGTGTGCCTAGGCACACTCACATACCAGAAAGTACACTGCTATTTTCAGGAGATATTCCAGACAAAAGTTAAAATTTTTAGTGTAGTACTTAGGCACAATTAACATTTTAGATGTTCTACTATTTGAGTTAAAAAAATAGATACCAAGCCCAGCTTTTCCCAGTTAAATAACAGGTGTTGGCATATGCATACAATTGTAATGTCTACAGGTAGGTTTAGGCTTGGCTCAAAGCTTTAAAGCTGACCTATAATAAAAAAAAGTTAAGATTTGGGTTTTAAACCCACATAACTGGCAGGATTTTGAGACACAAATATTTAGCTATAATTACTGAAATTGACACTCAAACTTGACCACCAAACGAATATGAATATTGAAATCATTATAATCACACAGAGACCTAAATTATTACTAGATATGCTTTCCAAGATTTAGCCTGCATGTTTGTGCTTGTTTTAAATCTTTATGTGTAACCAATCCTTTGTATCATTTATCTCAAGACAAGGGAGTTATGAAGTATTAAATGTCTGGAGCTAGAATATTGACTTGCGATAGGCAAGGAAATCAACCGATGATATAACAAACCTCTCACTATAATGTAGGTGACCTACTCTGTACTGTAGGGTCAGGGTGTTTGAACGCAAGCTTCCGTTGTCTCCTGCTATGCCTACATCCTAATTAAGCACAAAACCTTTTTTTGTAGCATAGTGGCGCTACACAGTCCATTTGTATACTTATATGCATTTCCATCCAGCTTAACTCAGGAAATGCTGGAGAGCATGGCATGGAACATTTCCAGTACTAGCTGCAAATTAAGGTAATTGTGGTATACAAAATGCGAAAAGAAAATGTGAAGGTGGAAGAAAAGCTACCAGGAACAAGTATAAGTAGGTAAATAAGTGGATGGAAGCCTCACAAGGTATAGACTTACATGAAAAACCATTGCTGCAGGGAGCCCTTGAAATACAGATGTGCCATTACCAGTTTCAACTTTTCTATATTTGAAATTAGCCTCCAGGGCACTTCAATCTTCTAAATTAACAAATGCAAACCTGTGCTGGTCTTATACCAGATAAATGGTCACTGTCCTAGGTGTTGGCATTTGCATAATATGGCTGCCTGGGGTTAGTGGCTTTAAGAAAATTCTGAGGAAATGCGGGCCATGCTTTCAAGCACTTGGAGATGCCCACTTCTGAATGACCATGCCCATTTACCAGGTATTATACCGTAACAGGTATAATGTAACCTGGAATATTCTGCGATAATTTAAGCCCTCCCACCTCACACCATTGCCATGTAAAGCCCCACAAACATCAGAAAAATACACCAAAGTGTAGTCATAATAAAATTAATAAAAAACACCCCGACGAATATTCGTAATAAAGGTTGCTTACCACTTGAAGATACAATGACAGGCTGAAGAAGTCTTTGCTCTCCGGATGGTGGCAAGCCTAAAACAATGACCAACACAGTACCTAGCGTGGTCCCAACCCATAAGCATGATGACGTAGATAAGTCAGGTTTCCTGGTAAAAGTCTCACAGAAATGAAGAGCAGATATTGCCTCTCGTGATTCTTTATCTATGCTGGTCACACTTGAACTCCGTGACCGGCTAAAGGAATTGTCTCGGACATCTAAAATTACAACAGACAAGGAAAATGTTTTTCAGTCTTCTCTGTTCAATAAACATGCTCATAAACAAAAGCTGTGCTCACACAACATTCCACATACATAACACACAATCATAGCCATCGGCAAATAGTTTCCATACACAGCTATACAACACTTTGTTTTAGGGTGGTTCCTTGTTTAGGCTCTAAAAATAGTTTTAGCCTTTAACACTGTACATGTTTTGATCAAACACAGGTGATCACATTTTTCTCTGCTTTTTTGTAAGATCCATGCTGATGTTATGCTGAAGAGCCTGCCGATACATGATACCACACTTAAAGGATGTCTAAACCCAAAAACCTAAAATATTGCAGCTGATCAGTCCTTAGATTTGGTGTCTGCATTGGTTTTGATTTTTGAAACAAGACATTTTCAGCAAGTACAGAAAATACTTGTTGATCTTGCCAGAAAATGCCTTGCCTTTGCCTGGATGACAAATACGACAGAAGTATGTTGTTATTTGCAAAATTACCAGGTGAAAACACAAGAAAAATAGGCCTGGTAAAGGAAACCTAATGCAGTTACAACATCTAAGGACTGGTAAGCCACAATTTATAACATGTTTGGGTTTAAATATGGTTATCATATTACCATAGTCCTGGTAAAGAAGTCAAACTTCAGGACATTATAATTAATATTAGGGATTAATGGATAACATGGCCAAATGCCTATGGAAGCAGGCTAGGGAGCAGAAGAAGAAAAAAAAAAAAAAAAGCAAAATTATACTTGACTTTTTGCTTGTTCCCTAATGGCTATCCAATGGATTGCATAATGCTTGTAATAACAGTAAACATAAGGAACACATTTTCAAAGAAATCGCTTTTAAAACAGTTAGGTTAAAGACTCTACAAAATGCTGCCGTTGTTCACAGGTGCCCAGCACACAAAAGCTTTATGATGAAAGCAGCAGGAATAACAATATAAGTTAGTAACACATATTAGGCACTTATGAAAACGTTTTCATGAAATCTTGGGTTTACCTAGTTCAGGCTTTAACTCGGTAGGTAGGCTTAACTTCCTTGACATCTTTGCTAGAAAAGAAAAAAAAGACAGTCTTAACAAAATTAGAAAGCTCTTTCAATGTTTGCCATTAAGCAGATTCCGTAAGGGTTAGCTGAATTAAAGAAAAACAAATTACAATGCTGAAAGCAGAACTTTGTAGTAGCAGAAAGATCTGATAGTTTGACTGAAGTTTAAGGATTAAAATCTAAAATAACTAAATATGTCCTTGTAGAGTAACCCAAAAATAATGGTTGTTTACTAATGGTAACTTCATAATATTTATATATA